TCTTACCTCATTAAATACTATTTCTGATCATCCTTCCACCATATAATTCAATTACAATGACTGCCATTACTGATACCAAATGCTGTAGAATTCACTAGTGAAAACCACTGATAAACATCCTTAATTTAGTTTTACATTTACAAATATATTTTGACTTGAAAAAGACATGAATTGCACAGTCATCCACATTAAGATACAGAAGTCATTATCTTTCTACAAAGATAAATATTCAGTAGCAGTCTTTTTATTCAAATCATAAATAAGATTTGCATTCTAAATATGCAAATCTGGGTTTGATGAATTTTAAGTAAATTACTCTAGTGCACCAATGATTGTAAAATAAAGCCTGTCCTGTATTAAAACAAGTAAAACAATAGCATGAGCATACTAAAATAGCCAAAGCCTTTAAAATAAAGAGCTCCTTTTTTTATAATACAGATTCCCATGCTCCCTCTGCTCCATTCCCAATTCTGAATCTGTGTGTGTTGGGATGGGGCATGGGGAGGAAAAAAAGAATATTTTATTGTTTTTTTCTTTTTTAAATAGCTCTCCCAGAGACAGAGATGCAACTGTTCTCAAACTGGCACTTCAGGAAATATAGATGGAGAACTTAAACTACGAGCGTAAGTGCTCTCTAAAAGAACTACCAACTAGCTGGGCTTGTTGAGCAACTTTCTCACAGTATTTAAATGAAACTCTGACAGCAAAAGCTAAATCAATGGAGCCATGACTGCTATGGCTCAATCAGTTAGGCATCATCAGGCAAACGAAGGGGTCACAAGTTCAATTCCCAGTCAGAACACATGCCTGGGTTTCGTGCCAGGTCCCCAATTGGGGGCATGCAAGAAGCGACCGATGGATATTTCTCACATTGACGTTTCCCTTTCTTTCCCCTGCTTTCCTCTCTCTCTAAAACTGAGTAAATAACTTTTTTAAAAAAGCTAAATCAATGCAACTTGCATCTCAGAAACCAATGAAGTGAGTTAATTGGTGCCTAGAATATTTTATCATTGCCAAACAGACTACCTCCTATGAAAACCAAGTTCCTTTGGGAGTTTACATGCAAATTTTAGCACCTAAACAGTCTCTAAAAGGAGCCCAAGTAAGCATTTTAGAAAGTACTTTAAGACAAGACATCAATGTTCTAGTTAGGATAGTGATGATACTAGTATACCAACAGCCTCCTAAAACTTGCTATCAGACAGTTCAAACAAACTGAAAAATAAAAAGGAGGGAATAAAAGAGAGAAGGAGAGATGAAGGGATAGACTTGGAAGCAAAGCAGACATGGCAATGTCTTCAAGGGACCTATGAAGTTAGATGTGAGATGATTATATTGTGTATATGTATATCACTGTATTAAATACTGTAAACCTGACACAAGTGAAAGTTTAAAAAAAGTTAGAGGACCCTAATAGCCACCTCAGAACTGTGATGCGGCTATACCCCAAGCCAAATGAATCGCTATTTCTGTGGGTGGGATCCAGCCATCAGGGTTTTGTAAAGCTCCTCAACAAATTTCAAAGTGCAGCCAAGATTGAGAACCACCGCCCTAAACCACTGGAATAAAAAATAAAAAGAAATAAAAAATAAAAAACCATTAAAAAGATGAACCCAACACAATGATAAATTCTCCAGATTGAAAACAATTTTTTCATTTAAAATGTGAATAAAGTATAGTTTTTGACTTTAAAGGAGTTTACAATTACCACCAAGTTGAAATTAAGATGTAATAATAGGCCCTGGCTAGGCAGCTAAGTTGGTTAGAGCATCATCCTGCTAAGCGAAGGATGCAGGTTTGACCTCTGGTCAAGGTGCACACGCAAAAACACCAATGATTGCATAAATAAGTGGAACAATAAACTGATGTCTGTCTCTGCCTCTATCTGTATTTCTCTCTTTGAAATCAATCAATAAAAAAAATGTTTAAAGATGCAATAATAGATACTAGCTATAATCAGCCTCTGGTAGCCTTCCGTCTTACCTATGACAGAATTCACAAGAGCAAAGAATCAAGACTTATAATGTAAGTCTTGTAATGTAAGATATAATATAAGAGTCTGACCACCTATTATCCTAGTTTTACATAGGTAAGCACTACCCTCATTTTTATCCGCTCATGGTTAAAATAAATTTTCCTGGATGCCAATCACACCATGTAATAATGTGAAAGCGACACAGCCAAAAATACTTGTTCCTGAGAAAGAGATATTCAGCCACATTTCCCATCACCAGAATTACACATTTTAGAAAAAATCTAAAAATTCTAAATCTGACCCATTATCAAGTATGTTTTGGCATATTATAATGCAAACAGTGTCATACTGAAAGCCATTCAAATGAATATCTAGACATATCTGTCAACTGTTTGAAAATCTCTTAAAACAACTGAATCTTTATTAACTGTCGAGCAAAAAGTCCAAAATTTGATAATTTAACAAAAAATTAAACTGTGTATGCTAACCTACTTTAACTTTCATTTAGTATAGAAATAATTAAATCACTAAAACTGATTAGTTTTATATAGGATTAAACATAATCTGAGAGTCACCTTTAATCATCACTTAAGGAAAAAAACACTCTATCTCACTACACAATCTTTTAAGAGGGGGAAAAAAACGATATCCAAACACGTACAATGAGTACTGAAATGGCTAATATATTTTTAAAAAAACATTCATTCTAAAATCACTGAATGAAAATGAAAAAAGTAATGAGCTGGAGAGAATGAATAGAACTGAAATAAGAAGAAAAATAATGTATGTTCTCACCAAGAGGCAGAAGTTTAGACAAGACTAAATACACATTTTAAATATAAGGAACGAAGCAGATCTGTAGGGTTAACTGCCCAAGCAGAAGCCTCACCAATTCACAGCTCAATTAGAACAGAGTCTAATGATGTTACTATAACACCAGCTCACTAAGGAAAAAACAGCTTTCAAGCCTGAGAGCTGGAGTGTGATTGGGCAGCATAAATTAGCTTTATACTTGTTCTTTAATTTGGGGGCGGGAGGGAGGGGGGAATTTGAAGGGAAATGCCAAAAAAAAAAGAAAAGAGAGAGAGAGCTCACACACTAATAAATAGCTCAAATAAAGAAATAGCTTAAATAGTTTAAGAAAGTGAAGCACAGGTTTTTACAAACATTTGCTGCTCCCTAGTATAAGCAGAATAGCTTCAAGTGGCACAGCCATCAGAACAGATCAATGATGCACATAAAACCTATCATGAAAAATTTCAAAGTGACTTTCTCAGCACAAATTTTCATTAAACCTGAAAACGATCTGAAGGTTTTTTTCTAAGCTCAAGTTTTAAAATGAAGGCACTTTGCTGAACAGAAGTTTCTACTTAGGCACTGCCATTTCAAAGATAAAACAAAATACAATACCGCTTTAAAGCAACCTTCCCAAAAACCTGAAAAGCAAAGAAAAGGCCACTTCTATTAATAGACTCACAAAATGGCATATCAATTTTGTCTAGAAAGCTTTTAGTTTTAACGTCAATAACTTAAACCTACATGATTTATCACCACTTTTAGACCTAGATAGATACTCCAAATATTAAATGCTTGGCTCGCTTGCATTATATTTGTTCTGTAATAAACCCAAATAACAAAAAAAAATCATGATGATATAAAAAAATTAACAAGAAATCATACTTTAAAATGTTAATTATAGCAATCATTTACAACCTGATATGTCATGTACTAACTTCCCAAAAGAGTAAATCTTCAGCAGAAAAGGTACTCGCTAGAACTTTGTATGTTTCAACTGAAATATATTTAGTTTTTGTGCAACGCGGCAAAGGCGCTTTGTAAAATCCACAAAAATTGTTCAAATGCAATGTTCCAAATCATATTATTTTATGAACATATTTCTGAAAGTATGTATTTTCTATTAAGTACTTAACCTATTTTTTTTAAATACCCAAACGATTAAACTGCTGAGACTAAAAGGATGCTAATTCTGTCAAAAAACAAAGGTTATTGAACAAAAATTAGTCAAGACTACATGCCTTTAGAAAGTCAACTTAGAATAATTAAGTTGCTTACACATTACCTTATATTTATTAAACCTGAATGTTACCAGCGGTTTCACCTTAAACTATGGTGCAAAAACTAAAGGGATTAAGAAATTAAATTCAAAATAAATTAATAACAAATATATTCGCTTTAAAAATTTACTGGGGTTTTCCGGGGAAAAATAACTATCAACCTTCAATAGCATTTTTAAAACCTCTCTACACCCACAAAGAAACCTTCATGTTAACTAAACACACCCATTTCTTTGAAAATCTAGCTTGGGGAAGGGGTGGAGCCACCGCCCGCCCTCCTTCACCAATTCCACATCTAGTATTTGGAGTCCTAAGCAATAAGGTACACTCTGTCTTTCATTTTTTATTAGGGGCTGGGGGAGGTATGGTCAGGTGCTAAGATTGCTTCCTGCATGCCGCCATCACCCAGAATACTCAAAAAGCAAGTAAACAAATCAAAACCAGAACATAAACGAGAATGACACAACTAAGAAAAGAAAATAGGGACAAAGAGAAAACAAAAAAATTTGCTTGAGAAAATAAATGTACACAAGCCACTTACAACTTGCATTTAGACACCTAAAGCAATCAATGCAGCCGAACCAGGCGCCCGGCCCTAGCGGACAGTGAAACTACTCAACAACAACAAAGAGGAGCGGCGGCCCCGGCCTGAGTCCCTCTTCGAGTTTAACTCCATTCTGCGACAAACTGTGACGGGAGCTCGGGACCGGAGGACCTACCCCGCAGCCGAGGGACGCGAAACACCGCGGCCCGGCCCGCCTAAGGGCAGCTAGCCCGGCCCGGCCCAGCAAGCGACCACGCTCGCTTTCCGCGCGGACCGCCGGCCTCCCGCGCGCTCCCTACCACTACCACCGCCGCCGCCGCTGCCGGGAGCCCGCTCCGGGGCGGGGAAGCCGCAGGAGGGGTGCGCGGGCCCAGCCATCGGAAGGGGAGGGGACATGGCTCGTTACCTGGGCTCGGGCGATGGCGAGGGGAGTTCGCTCTCCCGCCGGGGCTGGTCCGCGAGGACACCGGGCCCGGAGCGCTCCTCGGCCCCCGCCCCGAAGCGTCCGGGCCAGGCCGCCCTTCTTCGGCGCCGCGCCGCTGCCCGCGCGGGCCGGGCCGCCTCGAGCTCCCGGACCGCCCCGCCGCGGGGGCGTCTCTCTCGCGGGGCGCCCGGGTTCCGTCACCCGCTCCAGTCCCCTGGGCGGCCACGGAGCCGAGGTGAGGGCGGGAAGGGCCTCCAGAGGAGAGCGAGAGGGTGCGAACGCGGGCTCTGCCACCCGAGCCGCTCCGTTACCGCAGCGGCGACGACGACCAGGGCCGAGGTGCTGCTGCCAACTTGTCGAGAGGACACTGAGCATGCGCGCGTGGAGACCACATCCGGGTAATTTCAGGGTTTGGCCCTTTTTCCCCCCGCAGTTTTCCTTTCTCCTGGCTGCCCCCGCCTCCTGCCCGGGAGTGACGGGAGGGTCGCTCTGCGCAGGCGTCCGCTGAGAAGCACCAGTGGGCGCGCAGTTCGGAGTCCCTGCCTGGAGTCCCGCGCTGCCCCACAAGGGGAAATGGTCGCAAGGGAAATTGGGATCCCTTTGCAAAAAAGAAGTACCCAAGCACCGCAGGAGAGCTCGGCGTATAATGGACCAGTAAGAGTTTATAAATAGCGATAAGTCGGGCCTTGTTTTTGAGGACCTCTGTAGGCACAAAAATTAGACTTTAACAGCTAGCGGTTTACTCTGAGAAGAAACTGGCGAGGACTGCTCCTTCCTTCCCTTTCCATCAGCCCTGGATCACTAGATTCAAAGATGTTTAAATTCGCGAGACTCCCCCTTAGGTTAAAGAGATGCACAGGATAGTCAATCACACTTTTGAGAGCCTGACTAGGTGTTTGTTAGTGGTTCTTGTCGGAAGAGATTTAGGCAGAATGTCAGAGTTGGGAAGGGGCATTTGAAGATCTACACCACACCTGTTAACTAGGTACCTGTTGGGTAGGGAAAGGTGTAAACTCTGCTATTGCCTTTATACTTCTTTTATTTGAAATTTTTACAAGAAGCATGCATTTCTATATTTAAAAAGTTTCAGAAAATACAGAAATTTTTTTTTGCACACACCAGAAAATAGGCTGTTCTAAAGTCATTTCTTTTCCATCTGGAGCATATAACTTCTGTTACCAGGTTTCTGACCTTTCAAGGGGCCAAAGCTACCCTGCCCAGGCTCTTCCCTGCTGCTCAATTCCTTGGAGCCGAAACTTTATTTCCTTTCCACCACTCATTAACAGTCCTTAAAGCTTTTAATGAGAGTCTCAAGAGGTCGTCTCGCTTGGTATTTAGGACTTTCCATCCCATTTCCAGTCTTCTTAAAAGTTGTCAAAAGCAAGTAAGAGAAATTTTATGTTTTCTCTACATTAACTAGTAATTCAAACTATGTGTATGGTCTTTATGTGTTGAGTCTTCGTGTGTGATCTTTACATGATATGTGTTTGTGTATTACATGTGGTGCGTTTTCTGCCCCCAGATGGCATAATTAGTGTGTAATATTTTACTGACCTAAAGATATTAAGTACTTATATAAATTAAGCAGGATCCTATGTTCTAGACAAAATATTTGCTATTAAAACTGTTTTTTAAGTTAGATTAATGCGTTTCAGGGTTATTACCTAAAAAAGTACTTACAAAAAATTTATGTGATAATGTTTTGCTTAAGTATATTTGACAACCCTCCCAAAATTTAAATTTTAAAAACTTAGAAATTGCTTTGAGTTATTCCAATGGGCCCCTGGAATGCCTCAAGGATTTGTTCTCTCTCCTTAAAAAAGAGAAGTTTTTTTTTTTAGTTAGGCCTATAATGGACTTGAAATTACACGGGAAGCTTTGCCAAACAAAATAATAATAACTTTTATTTGTATACATATATTTTTATCAAAGTAGTTTTTCTAGAAATTTCAATCTACCCAGGGAGGAATTTGCAAAGATTCAGACTCAAGTTCAAACAGGAAGCTCTCAGGGATAACAGGTGCCCTGTCAATGACACTGAACAAGTCGAGAGTGATGGTTCCCTCTGGGGATCAGGCAGTGGTACTCTCGGTATTTGTAACCCACACATTGAGAATTTATGAATTATTTCGAATGTTCAAGGCACACTTCAGATAAGTCCTGTACAGCTGTTTAAAACCTTCATGCTATTTGTTCTTTACATGTATATTAATACTGTGTGTTGTATCTAAAAACATGGGCTTTTTGTTGTCCTTGTATGTTATTTCATAGTAATTATCAAGAAATTGTTATCTTGAAATATATCTTACAAAAAAGTAAATTTCTTTATCAATTGCATTTTAATCAAATCTATAACCATGTTATTTTAAACTTGGTCATTTATAAATAGTCACTATTTTACTCTAATGCATTTGCAAATGTATCTTTGGATAGGTTCATGAAAAGGACTCTGACTTACTCTAAGTTACAGGTATCTAAGCAGATCATATCTTTAAAGTAAAGATTTATAAAATCCTAAGTAATAACTGGATTCTTGAAAATACTGGCAAATAATTGAGAAAAACAAAATTGGTTGTATGGGACTAAATGAACTAAAGATAATTGTTATTCTTATGACTTTGTTCAAAATATTGCTAATTTTAAATATTTTTGTTTTCCAGATATAAGGAAATTTGTTTTTTCCCTAGAATAATTTGTAAATTTTACCCTCATAAACAATATTGAAACATTTATTTTTTTCTCCCTACCTAATTCCTTCAGAATTCAGCAACTTTTAATGAGTATTATTTTCATAGTAATATGTTTGTTTGCACAAACCCAATATGAATCTGTACTCTTTATAAGAGCACCAGTTTCCAAATGTGGTTTTATTAACCAAGTCTTTGTCTGGGTTGTCACGATCAAAAGAGTCATGCCTGGATTCTGGATTTCACCAAAAAGCTGTAAAGAGTTAAGATTGACTTTTCAAGCCAATAAGAGCCCCTTGGAGAAATAGCCTGATACCTTGCTTCATCACATGGTTCATGGCAGTCTTTGCAGGTAAGGAATGAAGGTTGCTTTCCTGAAAGATGGCAAAAAAAGAATCTAAAGGCATTTGGGGGACCTCAAGAACCTGACGAATCCACTCATACCTATAGGTATTGCAGGCAAAGCCATATGGTAACTACGTGGCTTGGCTTCTGTGCTCTGAAGGACAGATTAAAGCTCATTTTGAAGGTTCCTTGTGAAACTTCCAGCAAACCAGATTTAAAAGAGCTTATATGATCAGTTAATATTCTTGTTGTGTCTATGCAAATAATCAGGCCAAATTAAAACTGGACTTGATGTAGTCTCTGATAAAATGAGGGTGATTTTAGCGAGAAAAATTGTATTTCAATGGAAATCACAATGTGCAGTTGTCACCCACAGACTGATTGAATCCTAATTTTTCTAGTTTTCTTTCAAGCTAATGTTTCATTGTTTTCTTTCATCCTTTGACTTGAAATTATTGAGAACTGCTCATGCAGTGTCACCCATACAGAATTTACGTACTACTCTGCCTCTCCCTTTTTTGGATTTTCAGGCCTATATCTGGTCCTTGTTTTCATGCCTAACTCCCTTCCTAGGACAATGTGTCCTAGGCTAAAGAAAAGGCTAAAGAAAAGCCTTTTTCTTTATTCATGTTTTTAGGCCACGTCTCCTCAAATATGTCATATCCTTCATTCAATGGAGCATCCAGGCTCTGGGAGAGTCCCTCTACAAATGGTATCCAGCCACAGCTCTCACTTTCTGGGCTGTCTAATTCCGCCATCTTCCCTTTATTGACCTATATCTGGACCAGCAGGCAGGGACAGCTCTACATCCCTAGACCACCTGACGTAGTTACAGAAGAAGAGACCTTCGTGTTTACTCCCCAAAACCAAAACTGGGCCAGGTCATTAAGAATAAATCCATTTTAAAACCAGAGGGGAGAATGAAAGGATAAAGCCAGTGCCATTTGCTATTGTGGTACCATTTGCAGAGCAGGCCGGCCTATGACCTTGTTAAACATGACTGCCATTTTACACTTCTGAGCTTATATCCCCAAGACTGGAAATTACTGGAAAGCAAGAACAGAACGTGACTAACTGTCCCCCACAGGTGTAGGCAAAAGATAACATTGGAGCAAATTGCAGCTTATACAAAACCACCCAAAAACTCCTGTGATGCAACAGCCCAGGGGACCACACAACAGCAACCCCTCCCCACTCTTCTATAATCCAGTTATAATCCAATAAAAGCTCAAAGCCCCCACTCCTCAGTGCTGATGTATCTCTCTGTACCTTACCTCTCTCCTTTCTTGAAGAGTGAATGAAAACTCTACTCTCTAAAGAAAAAGAAAAAGTCATTTCTTTTTTTAATACTTTATTGTTTATGCTATTAGTTGTTGCAATTTTTCTCCCTTTGCCCCCTCCACTCAGCACCCCCGACTCCCTCAAGCAATCCCCACGCCATTATTCATGTCCATCGGTCATGTATTCATGCTCTTTTGCTACTCTGTTCCCTATGCTGTACTCTACATCCCCATGACTATTCTGTCACTACCAATTTTTACATATTAAACTCTTCACCTTTTTGGCCTGTCCCCCCTGATTCCCCCATCTGACAACCATCAAAATGTTCTCTATATCTATGATTCTGTTTCTGTCCTGCTTGTGCGTTTATTTTGTTTTTTAGATTCAATTGTTCATAGCTTAGTTAAAGCTATTCCTTAAGCTCTGCGGCCCAGAAACTCTCTAGTCCCCTCCTTTCACATATTGCCCCACCCCTTGCCTCATGCTGTCCTTGCCATCATAGGCTGGGCTCATCCCTCTTCTACCAGGAATCTTCTAAAACTCTCATCTTCACTGGTATTCCCTTACCCCTGGGGTTCAGGAAGACTTTCCAAGACTAGTTTTAAGGGACTCCATTTCCAAATCTTCCACTGCTATCTGTACTATTTTCTAAAATTTCTCAGCTTCAGAAAGCACAGAAGACAGCATCCCCTTTCAATACTGTCTTTCTGCCACCTTAGAAAAAAGTAAAAATTCTCACCCATTGTTAAGGTGCATGGACCCAGCATTTAAAGACCTCTAAGACAATTCAAAGGGACAATTCAGAAGTTGGTGTCTGCACTGAGAAAGTAAACTACCTGAATTAAAGGGCTGTAAATTCTTTTGTAAGTCAGGTGATTTCCAGTTCTTTGCTATCAACAAATTTGAAGGAAGTTCTAACTAGGTGATTTGATAATAGATCAATATGATTCTTATACACCTCAGTTGGGGTTAAAAATATTGAATAACATTGCTACAACTAAACTTCTTCATTCCCATCTATATTAGCCAATCTATTAATGTTTAGCAATA